TGCCTTTAATCGCATCGCGTGGTCCACTCGTATACGCGTTGCTTTATTTTGCGAGGCTCCCTAAGTACTATCCACGAGGGTTCAAGACCGGATCAATGGAGGCACGTGGATGGCAAAATTAATCCAGCGGACATAGCATCCAGAGGTTTAAACCTGAGGAAAAAGGATGATGTTCAAAGGTGGTTAAGAGGGCCGGAGTTTATCTGGAAAGGAATGGAGCAATGGCCTAAACCATTTCTCAGTAGAAATCTTGAGAGAGGTGACCCAGAGGTGAAGGAGGTTGCTTGTGCTGTTACCCAACAACAAGATCCTGTTGAACTGTTTATGCAGCACTACTCATCTTGGTACCGCTTGAGAAAGGCAACTGCGTGGCTGTTAAGAATAAAGAGAGCACTCCTTAAGAAGGAAGTAATCAAGGGAGACATCACGCTAGCCGAACTTAAGAATGCAGAGGTCACTCTCATCGGGTACGTGCAAAGCAAGCAATATGTTGAAGAGATAAAGGCCTTGACAGATGGAAAATTGTTGAAGAAGTAGTAGATTAGATCCATTTCTGGAAGATTGACTACTAAAAGTTGGCGGTCGCCTACGACGGTCAACACTACCATGTGACATGAAACACCAAATGATCGTGCCCAAGAAACATTACATCTCAGAAGATGGCTGATCTTCCTCGATGCAGGGTAACAATTGGAGAAAACCCTTTTTCACATGCAGGAATGGACTATTTTGTCCCATTTGAGATTAGGAGAGGACGATCACAGCTAAAAAGGTATGGTGTGATGTTCACCTGCATTCAAACCAGAGCAGTACACCTCGAGGTAGCTTGCTCATTGACTACTGACTCTTGTATCAATGCAGTGAGAAGGTTAATTTCTAGACGAGGGCCCGGGCCGGTAAAATTGATCTGCTCTGACAATGGTACAAATCTTGTAGGAGCACGGAAGGAACTTCATCAGGCGATCAAGGAACTTAACACAGATAAGATAACCAAACAAATGATGGTTAAAGGTATTGAATGGAGACTTAACTGCC